GTCCTGAGATAACATCTGTTATGAATTGGCACTATACAAATACATTGAATTTAAATTTAATTGAAATTATTTACTCATTTAGTCAAATGTTATTAGTTATTAGTTTCATAATTTATATAATCATATTATAAATATTACATTTATTTCATATGTTTCAGGAAAGTGGTCAGTGCTGTAGATACAGGGCATAGGTCAGGGCTGTAGATACAGGTCAGAGGTCTGTATTGTCTATTTGATTAATATAATAGTAACAATAATGATTATAACTGTTTATTATAGTAATTATGAATAGTCCAATAATATAATAAGTAATTTGACATATCTGGACTTTTTGTTTCATATTTTCATATTCTTATTATTATCATTTTTCCTTGTCTGTTTTTTGGACCTACTCACATATTTTACACATAATTTTAATTTACACTTTATACATGCAAGTGTATTAGTCTCATTTTGACCATTATTCATCTTTAGTAGAAGCATTTTTGATGAAGATATACTTTATTAATGTGAAAAGATAGGCTGCCACATAGGGGCACTCCAGGAGCAGCTGGGGTTAAACAACACTTAACATGCTTTGCTCAAGGGCACCTCAGCAGTGTACCGGAGTGGGTGAAACTGGCACCTCTCCTGTTACCAGTCCACACTCTATACTATGGTCTGTGCTGGACTTGGAACAGCAACCTTCTGGTCCCCAAACTAAGTCTCTACATACTGAGCTACTGCTGCCATGTACAGTTCTTTGGATGAGGAATATCACTGATATAGGCCATGCCAATTCACACCTTAAAAACATTCTTTAATAAAACCCTGCCATAACTCTTGAACACAGTATTGAATTACCACCAGTTTTGGGTTTTATCTTTAGACGTGAATCACAAACACTTTGTGCTGGGACTCTTTCAGAAGCTGGGCCAGAGAGCTGCGGTAGCAGTAGTAGATGAAATCACAGAAATCACACACATTTTCTTCAAGAAATGCAAATATTCTATTTTGAGGTCTGTTGTGTTATTTTAGTGAAATGTGATTCAAAATCTTCCATACTGAATCAAGCATTTATATCAAGTATGTTGTTTATTAAACCTGAGTCTCACTTGTCTTGCAGGCGTGGTGCGGACAGCTCTTCCTGACATGGACCGGGAGGTTCGGGACCATTACCTGCTGGTGGTCCAGGCCAAAGACATGATTGGTCAGATGGGAGGTCTGTCAGGAACCACCTCGGTCACAGTGGTCCTGACGGACGTCAATGACAGCCCACCTCGCTTCCCCCGCAGTGAGTCTGACCTCTAATCTTTACATAGGACATCATCATACACTGACACTGAATGTCTGTGTTTACCTGTGTGTATACCTGTCTGTGTACCTGTGTATACCTGTGTGTACCTGTGTGTACCTGTGTTTGTACCTGTGTGTAACTGTGTATATTTGTGTGTATACCTGTGTGTACCTGCGTGTATACCTGTGTGTACCTGTGTGTATACCCGTGTATACCTGTGTGTACCTGAATGTATACCTGCATGTGTACCTGTGTGTGTACCTGTGTGTACCCGTGTGTAACTGTGTATACCTGTGTGTGTACCCGTGTGTAACTGTGTGTGTACATGTGTCCCCACAGAAAGCTACCAGTTCAGTGTTCCAGAGTCTGTACTGGTTTCAGCTGTGGTCGCTAGGATTAAAGCTCTGGATCTAGATGTTGGTCCAAATGCTGAGATGGACTACAGGATCCTGGATGGAGATAGACTGGGGACCTTCAAGATCATAACCGATCCAAACACACAAGAAGGACTGGTCACACTACACAAGGTACTAGTTTCTCTCCAGTAAGTACTGGATAGTCTACTGAAGGTACTAGCTACACCACTGAAGGTACTGGTTTCCTTTACCTTTACTTATAACAGACACTGGTTTCCTTGTAGCAGGAACTGGCTGAAGTTACTGGCCACCAGTTTCTACTGGAGATGTTTGCCAGGATCAATGTTCTTGTTTTGTGTCATTCTGATTGTTTTTCGAAGTGAAACTGTTTGGGAGGATGAACTAAGTGGGTTTGAATGTACCGCTCTGTCAGCACTGTGCTGGATTATCTATCAGTCCCAGAGGAGGCAGCTACAACCTCAGCACATGTTATTTAAATGTGGATTGATGTCAGTGAAGCACACAAAGTCAAAATGATCCCAAAGCAAACTCCTCTGTGCTAAGTTTTATTAAAAGTCTTGAGAACATTATTTTTAGTAATATAACAGCTTGTTCACACTGCCAACGTCTGTGCGATCTCTGTGTGGTGTCTGCGTGGTGTCTGGGTGGCCTCTGCGTGGCCGAATGTCTTGATTTTTATTTTGGCGCACATGTTAACAGATTAAAGTGGTCAGACTGTGTGTCAGCTGCAGCGATGCTTCACTAGAGTTGAGATCTTGTCTATTTTTACCACGAGCCTCCCAGCAAAAAAGGGCAGCGAAATGGTCTGTATATTTATAGTTTAAACTTCCTTTTTGAAGCACTGTAGTAATTTAACACAACTTCAATTGTAAGCAAACCACACATGCTTTTTGGTTACCACTCAATACATGGCATTGTAAATTAAATGATATAACAGTATACAGGCAAAAGTGTATAGGGAAATATAGGACTGGCAGCAGCAGCCATGCAGCTGACACGCTGTCTGTAAGAATGCCGCACACACACTGCTTAGGCAGGCTTTGTGAATGAAGTGTAAGTTGTGTCTGTTTAACTGACAAGACACATGATGAGATAATGAAACTGATAACAAAAAATATTAAAACTTTATTTCCTAAGAAGAAGTAGAGTGGTCATCACATCATTCAACCCCCCTTTCTCCCTCCAGACTCTGGACTTTGAGACTAAGTCGAGTTACATGCTGCGTGTTGAGGCGTCCAATCGTTACGTGGACATTCGTTACCTGTCAATGGGTCCATTCAGTGATGTGACGACAGTTCATCTGCTGGTGCAGAACGTGGACGAGCCTCCAGTCTTTTCGTCCTCTGTCAGTCGGGTGTCAATCTCTGAGGCTGCTGCAGTGGGAACTGTTGTGGGATCAGTTTCAGCTCATGACCCGGACACCACCAACAGCCCCATCAGGTACGAATATCAACACTTTGATACAGGGACAACAGCAGTTCTGGTTTTAACCACATAATCAAACACTGCCGTTTAGTCAGTGCCCCTCAAAATATGGTAAATGGACCTGTAC